ATTAAGAGCAAATCGTAATTATTCGCCCTCCGAGAAACTTTCTGCATACATCCTAACTGTTAGCAGCGGAACAGTGAGCATAATACTGAAGTGAAAAAAAAGGGGGGAATGGATTCTTAAAGGATGGCAGGGACATCAACAACGTGCCATAAGCCCAGAGATGGACAAACAGCTTAAAACATATCAACCACTATTATGAAGGATTTGTAGTATGAGACTGCAGAAAATATTTTTGTCAAATCTGGCAGCCAAAAGACTTTTTTTGCTATTCAGCGACGAAACAGATTCCGACAAATGTTTTTGTAGCTGTTCAAGCGAGCAATTCTTCATGAACAGCCACATAACATGAATGAATGAACGGCAACGAACCAAGCATGGGTATGGTCACAAAGAGCATATAACGATGTTTGTGCAGCATTAACGTCGAAATGACCGCAGCAAACAAATAGACGAACACGTACGAGATACTCATCCACACCAATATACCCAACCACATCTCCCAAAACGACACCAAATCCTCACCATTCAGCACGATCACCTTCCATAACGAAAAATTCGTTCTAAAATTATTCTATCTAAATTTCCTTTTTTTAAGCAAATAGTCAACATTTTGTTCATTATTATTGTTACTACATATTTTCGTACAGTATTCGTTTTACTATTACTATTTCATCATATGAATTGTAACTTAAACGCCATTATCGGTATTACTAGAGACTATCATTGTTATCATTTTTATGATTATCATCAGAATAAGAATGCTAAACAAATGAATTCCCATCTCTCCAGACCCTGAACACTGTCGCACACAAATCTTTGTACTAATTGTAAAGTTTCAATAGTTTCTTGACAGCTCATTGCCAACACTCGAAAGTGCCCATTCACTGTAGAAAAATTTCGCTTACGACACAAATTCATTGATGAAACAAATCAAAAGATGAAACAAATTCGATGTGTCCCCTTGAAACTATACATGCTCATTGAAGTGATGATGATGATAAATACTAACTTTATTGTCGCGTTTCCTTCAGCGAACAATGAGAAGAAGTCGTCGTTTTGCATAATCATTTCATCGGAAATTGTTTGCGAGGTCGTTTGATGGCTAATAATGAGCTATCAATATGAGTGATCGCAGTCGATATCGCTGGCAATCTGATGACAATCGAACGAATACTCACGACTAAATTCGAGAACACGGAGGCTTCCAAAAGCTTTTGAATGCGGTCAAATGTGCGAGAATGAGGACATCAAAGAATGAGGAATACGATTTTAAGTGATAACANTTTCATCGGAAATTGTTTGCGAGGTCGTTTGATGGCTAATAATGAGCTATCATTATGAGTGATTGCTGACAGTCGATATCGCTGGCAATCTGATGAGAATCGAACGAATACTCACGA